TAAAAAAAGTGTCATATCGCGATATCAATGATATAGCGTCAATGATGACGTATTTACTAGGATTTACTCTGACCGTGGTAGTTCCCTTGCTGTCTATGGGAGGGTCAGAATGTCCTCAGATTTAATCAAAAATATCTTAAATTGTGTTCCGAATATGAAAGAAGTTCTTATGGGTTTGGAATGACATGAGAGTGAGTAATTAATGACAGAATTTTTATTTTTTGGGCGAACTATCCCTTTAAGACATGCTTTTTTGGGGGGTTAAATAATGGCACGAATGGCAGTAATTTGACGAGTGCAAACGTTAGTAAAACACATTTCATGATTCATTTGAATACTCTCCTTCCATAAATTTTGCGTCTGAAAGGGAAACTCCTGCAAATGCATATTCGATAAGGTCAGGCGCAAAAATGACTGTCTACGCCTTTTCAGCGTTAATTCATCACTGCACGTTTTTAGTAAAAACTGACAGTACAATTTTAACACCAAAAGACGGTTTGCGCTGGCGCAAGCTGTTAGTAAAACTGACTCTTAAAGGGTTAATTCACCCAAAAATGAAACTTTTTTATCATTTATTACTCGTTATTCCACATCTCCATGAGTTTTTTTTTTCTGCTGTACACAAGATATTTTACTTTCATAGTATGAATAAATACACATTCTTCAAAATCTACTTTTGTGTTCAACAGAAGACAGAAACTCATACCGGTTTGGAGCAACTTGAGTAAATGATGACAAAAGTTTCATTTTTGGGTGAACTATCCCTTTGAAAAAAATCACACAAGCAAGAGTACTGTGAAGGTGTCTTTAAATAGCTGAGTTAAGGCTGCTTGTGCCTGCTCAAAATACTCTGCATAGCATTGCAGCATTAAACAGTATGTAAAGCCACATAAAAGCTACTTTCAGAAGTGCTTCTGTGCCATCTTTGTAATGTGAATTTTGACTCTAGATCAGGGGTGGCGAACGTCGGTCCTGGCGAGCCGCAGCCCTGCAGAGTTTTGCTTCAACCCTAATCAAACACACCTGAACAAGCTAATCAAGGTCTGAACGGTTATTAGGAAGCTACAGGCAGGTGAGTTTTAATTAGGGTTAGAGCTGAACTCTGCAGGGCTGCGGCTCTCCAGGACCGGAGTTCGCCACCGCTGCTCTAGATCAATATAGATCAGGTATGAGACCACAGAAAACCACAGCCTGCTGATATAGAGTCTAACAGCATGATTACAAGAGTGATATATAGTTTTTACATACCGGTAACTTAAATTTCATTCTATATGTCTGATACACTGGCATTACCACCCACTAGCATAACAATGTAACATGCAGAAAGAGTTCAAAAATCTCCACACCTGTCTATAATGATACAAACACCACTCTTGTAACACTCGGCTAATATAACAGACATTAATCCATTATTGCAACAGTAAGAAGTCAAATGAAAGACTGCTTCCATGGCTTAGAAAAGTGTGGATTTTTTCCCATTTTTCCCCCAATTCTTGTTCAGTGATTAATCTGTTGTTCTTTCTATTTAAGATGGTCTTTAAAGATTGCATTAAAGTTGCATTAAAACCCCGACATCCTCCTCCATTGCCATACAAAGTGGGTAAGTGCATCTTTTATGACAATACATTTTTGGGTAATATTTCATCCAATGTATGTATGCATATTAGCTATCTAAAATTTCTGTTTAAAGGTTGGAACAAATGTAATTCTGTATTTGGAAGAGGAGGAGGAGCAACAAAGG